CCCTTTCTGACTTTCTCTGTTTCCCCCTTACTTATCTATTCCGACTTCTTAGTTTATCTGCTTTCTTCAGTTAGATGTGCCTATCTTTGTTTCTTTCTCTTTCAACTTCAGTAACACTAGTGAAGCAAAGGGACATGAATGTGTTTACTGTTTCTCACTGTGTGAATATATGTCTGTTAGAACTTAGAAAACCACTTTTAATTTTCTTTTCTTCTCGGTTTTGCCCCTTCTCCATCCTTCCCTGCTACATATTTCCTAGAGATCAAGAAGCAGGACTCTTCCTCACCCCGACAGCCCTAGTCAGGATATGGTGTGTGCTTGGCCAGAGGGATCTGAGAGCCCACCTGGTCCTGGGAGACCAACGAGGTCTGTTTAGGGCCAGGACTCAGCAGCAGGGTCTTTCTTGTCTGTGTGCTCCCCACATGGGTTCCGAGGGGCTGTTAACCCTAAAGACCCCAGTTGCTGTGGGACCACTGCATGGTCATGTTTGAAAAACAATTTCAAGCAATTGGGGACATTTGTTGTGAATTGTCTTCTGTTATCCACAATTCCCAAACTTGGGTGGGCTTGTTCGAACACAGATTGCTGGGCCCCACCCCGGAGTTGCCGATCCAGTAGGACTGGGCCAGGAACTTATCCCAGGAAGCACACTTTGAGGACACCTGTTTCTTGTCTACTGGCATTTATCTGCATGTGTAATTTAGAACCACATTCTAACATCAGAATGTGGAGTTTCTTAAGAGAAGTGTTGACTATCCTGTGGAAACACCATGTGAGGAGCCACATATATAAGACTAAAATTTCTAGGGGTCACAATAAAACCATCTAAATATAAATAGTTAAAATGAATTTAAATAGTATATTTTAACCCAATGTACACCAAATACCATTTTAACATGTAATGAATAGACAAAAAGCATGGATGGGATTTTTTTACATGATTACTTCATGCTAAGTCTGACTTCTGGTGTGTGTCCTGCAATCCCAGCATGCCTCAGGGCAGATCAGCTGCATTTCGGATGCTCAGTGGCCACACTGTGATAATACAGCTCTAGGTTCTCTCTCTTGGGATGCTCCCTCTTCCCTTTCTTAAAATGAGTGTTTTTTTAGGCACTTGTGGGGAATTTTGGATGTATTTCCTCAGCGTCTTCCGTGATAGAGAGCGCTTCCTCTGTGGTCATGAACTCTAGACTGTAATTCTTGACTAAGTTTGCGTATGTGTAGCTCATCAGTAACTGTCCTCAGATGAAGACGGGAAGACTGTGGCAGAGACCAGGCCTGGGTATCGGAATAAGGGAAAGTTGGCATCAGTTTTACTGGGCTCTTCTCTGAGCTCTTCCTCAGAAAAATGAGAAAAATGAGACTAAGAGTCTGTGACAGATGAGTTGATTTATGGATGAGAAGTCTTTAAAAAAAAAAAGCAATGATTTTAGAAAAAAGATAGTGGGTTGAGGAAAATGAAATAAACAAAAAACAATTAGACTGAGTACATGAAAGGTAGAGAGTCCTATCAATGACATAATCTGAGTTTATATATGTATTTATGGACTATTTAAGTAGAGCTGGCTTTTGACTCTTAACTTGATTGCTGCCATAAGGAATTATATTACACTAATTCATGCAGTGTCACTGCTTGACCAGGAAAGAAAACCAGATGAGAATGTTGACTTTTACGTGTTCTTTTCTCTTTAAACATGGTAACAGAGATGCAAGTAAAAAGACCTCTGTTAGAGGATATTCACAGGATCTTGGGAATCTTTAAAAATAATTAATGCCAAACCACAAGCCCTGTAAATTAGCACTTTGAATGCACTCTTAAAGAAAGAGGTTTTAAAGCTGAACTTTGAGTGAATTATCTGGTTCATGAGTCAGTGAAGGTTGGAGTCAAAGCTTTAGACCAAGTAGAGTGCACGGCTGATTCAGAGAATAGCTATTCAACTCTGTTACCTTCAGAAGATAAGCATTTCTCCCTGAAGCTTGGGTCTCTGTCCTCTCCCCCTCTCTTTTAAATTGGTTAAAAACCGATAGCCATGTTTAAGTAGAGTAGCATTAAAAATTGACGAAGTCATCCCTACTGATATGTGTGATAGTGATAGTCTCTGTACTGCCCTGACATTTGAATTTCATCACAGACTTTTATCCTGAAATATATTCCGCTCCTTTCTCACTCTCTCTCTCTTTTCAGTGGGAGATAATGCAGTACGTGCTTGAAACCATTTGAAGTGACTAAAGGTTTTGAGGGGTGGTTACTTCAGAAAAAATTGGCATTTCAGAAAGACATGTTTTCCCTTCGATCTCTGTTGATGTTTGAAGTCTTCAAAGTATTGCTATGATCAGAGAAAAACATTTCTTGTGAAATAGTTCTCTCCAAGAATGCAGTGATTTGAGACTGGCTGGTTGTGGATTCCGATCGTTTGTTCTAGAAGAAGCTGTTTTCACAGAATTTGCTTCAGGCTGAGGTCTGGGGCTTGAAAGATTTATCTTCGATTCAGAATATGTAAATATAAAATTAACCTAGCTTTAAAATCAGCTTCAAAGTCAATCAGAAATGGAGTCTTTCTTAAAATATGCCTAAGCAGTGCACTTTCTAGTCCTTGTTCCTCACAGGTGACCCCGTGCCTGGTGTGTGGATTCTAGTTGCCGCCATTATGTGTGATTACATGTGAAGAGGCTGTGAGAAGGCAGGATGTTCTGTTTTTGCAGTCTGTTGGTTTATTATTTCCAGTCTACTTTTTGCACAGAAAATTGTAGCTAAATATTTATCTCAAGATGCTAAAGGTTTGACTTCAAAAGAAGTGCCAGTATCTACTGAACAGTTGTGTGTGCTGTAGGAGTATGCTGAGTGATTCTCATGAATTATCTCGCTTTTACATTGTCCTTGCAAATGCTGTTATTGTCGTCCCTTACATCCATGTGAAAACGGAAGCTTAAAGAGGTGATGTGGTCTGGCCGTTTTGGTTCTTGGGTGTCAGAGCCAGGGTGTGAACTGGGCTGTTTTAAAATCTTTAAATTTTTTATTTTATTTTTTAAAAAAATATATTTATTTATTTATCAGAGAGAGAGAGAGAGAGCACAAGCAGGGAGAGTGGACAAGGGAGAAGCAGGCTCCCCGCTGAGCAGGGAGCCTGATGTGGGACTCAGTCCTAAGACCCCGAGATCATGACCTGAGCTGAAGGCAGACGCTTAATGACTGAGCCACCCAGGGACTCCTGAACTGGGCTTTTGATGCAGAGCCCACGGCCTTCACCTCCATAATTTCCTGTTAAAAAAGCCTGACTAGGTTCTTTTCAACTCCACGCTTAGAGAAAACCTAGTGAAAATACATGCCACGAATAATGACAGGGAATTCTCAGTGCAGCCTTGGCTCTGGAAGTTTTCCAAGTGCAGCAAACAATAGGTGATGCCCGTATTCCCAACCTAAGATTCCAAGAAGGTCTGGGGAAAAGCCATAGTGTAGATTAAACCGCTAATTGCTTATGTCACTGGCACTTGTGTAGAAGGGCAGCGAGTAGGTACGATAAAAAAGCAAACAAACAGGACAGTACCAGGTGGGTCAGTCTTACCCCACGTGGGGAAATCAACATGTAGGGAAACCATTTGGAGACATGAGAAAGTACGATCTGAGAGGTTAGACTTCTAACTTGCGTTCTGATGTAACAAGTGACTTCCTTCTCCCTCAGCTCTGTTTCCCAACACGTATATAAATAGTTGGAATATTAGAATCCTGGGAGAGTCTATTCTTTTGGGGCCCAGGAACCTCTTCTTAGGAAATGCACATGTAAAATGTTCCATATCATTGAGGGTTTTTATGAGTCCCTAAAATCTCTAGGACTTTCTAGACTTTTATTCAAACCCCTGAATTGATGGATCTCCTTCATTCCATTTTCATTCACGAGTGGCAGATTTCTGTGGCTGTGTTGTGGGAAGAACTTTTGTAGATAGAGCCCTGTGATAGACACCTGGTGGACTTTTGGGGGATTGATGCTACTGAAAGCATATTTGTTCCATATCCTGTGATACATGGAAGGCAGAGGTGATACCGGGTTGATGGGGATTTCTGAAGAGTTGGCACTGGAGCTGGGGGAAAAGCGGGTGGACTTGGACTTGTCAGGCCCAGCTAACGTGGACACACTCTCAGTCTTTCAGTTTCCTCTTCTGTGAAAGGAATGAAAACTGTGTCATGTGACTCTGTGGCATTTAAGTGGAATCGCAGGTGATGATACCTGTAGATAAATCGACTGATGGGGATGAATCTGGCAAATGTTCATCACATTTGCTTGTTGATCTGCAACTGCTTAGAGGGTCCTGGCAGGATATGGGTTCTTAGGAGGCGCAGACCTGTCAGACCAGAGAAACTGACCCTTGGGACTCTGGGAATCTCTTAACGTGTAATGAGAATCCATGGGATCTGAGGAGGCCACCTGAGAAAGGAAATGAACGTGAAAATTGATATGGCTAAGGGAGGAAGCTGGGCTTACATTCTTTGGAAAGTCGGAGGTTTTCACTGGACCAGGGCTCTCCAAAAAGCTAGAAGGGCAGCAGAGAGGGTTGTGTGATAAAAGGCATGTCCATCTGATAAATCTGACATCGATTCGGTGTTAGCATGCAGTAATACTAGATTTCATTAGTTAAAGCTATGCTTGGAACACTTACTCTTTGTTTGCCTCCCCTTTACTGTATTACAGACAGGCATGAGAGCTTTTTGAGAGAGGGGTATTGCATTTTGACCTGAACAAATCTAGCAGGTTTCTGTGACTACTGGGGGTGTCTGGAGACCTTACTCTCTCTCTTTCTGTTGCCTCCATTTCTCGTGCAGCAGGGATGGCCAATGTCTTAGGTTTGGAAGAATTAAGTCCGTCTTACTCTTCATGAAGAATAATTTTTGTTTTTTTTTTGTACAAACTGTTATAATTTATGTGTATTTTAAGTCACTGAGGAAACTCCAGTCTCGTCCGTGTCTAGTAAATAATCCGTCTGTTTTGTTCCGTTTCTATTTTCAGATCGAAGAATTTCGAAGGCTGAGGACACACGTGAAGGGGGCAGAGCTTGTGGAAGGCTGTGATGGGATTTTGGGAGACAATTTTAGACCCACTCAGCCACTTAGTGACAGAGTCATTAGAGCTGCATTTCAGTAGCCAAAGAGAAGAGGAACAAGACGGTCTTCATCAGGGTATGTGCAGATTAAGTAAGCAAAATGGGGCTTCCAGTTCCGTAAACCAGAGTCATCCTCACAGCTATCCTGATAATTAAGCAGTATGCGTGCACTTCGTTTTGATAAAAGTGAGGACGCATTCTCAATCCCTGTTAACCACAAGTCAGGTGGCTTTAAAAATTTTGTGCAGTGTTGAAAAAGAATCTCCAGTCCTTGCATTTTCCCACCAGAGCAGCCTTTAATTCCCATTTTGGTTTAATCCTGGCCTTCATCAGGTAAGGAGCCCCACGGCAGAGAAGCAGTCCATCTTTATTCAAGGTAAAGAGGTAAATTCCTTTTTAGGGCTCCCTATGCTTCACCCTTGAAATGGTAGCAGTTACCTCCTGATGACTGAGGAACATACAGGGAGCCACCAGCGGGGTGGTCAGCCTCAGAGCTGACCCTTGTCTAATGCAGATTGGATCCTCTGTCGGGGTAGGAGAGGGCAGATCTGGTGTGCATGAAAACCCTCGTCCTATGGAAGTGCTTTTATTTGATAGATCAGGAAGCACTTAGTAGGTATATGAATACGGTACGCTTCTTTATGGACTGAAATATAATCTATGCATTTTCATATATTGGATTCAATATATGTATACCTTATCCCCAAAGAACTAACAAAATGAAACATGACGGACATGGGAAAGATCAAATATATGTAGACGACTATATACTGGATTATTTCTTTACCTTGTGAATTTCCCAAGAGTGTGTACATAGGTCAGGGCATGTGGCTGGCCAACCACTGTTTCCCACAAGAGGAGAGCATCTGCTGGAAGGTACGTAGGTGAGCAGGGCAGAGCTTGGACTTGGTTTAATGAAGCCTGGTGAGTATAAGCTCACATACTGTGGGAGCAGAATAGTATAGACTGAGTCACAGACGAATAGATGAAATCTCTGGTTTCAAGAAGGTCAACAGGGTCTTGAGCTAGACAGCTGACATTAGACTTTTAAAAAGTGACCATTTTGTCCATGTGTTCCCCATTCCATTTTTCTTGCCTCTCTGTTACTACTATACCATAGATACCCAGTAGTTCAACCAGATTGTCTTTTTTCTAATGGGAATGTGCTTTGCTCCTACAGTCCTTCCCACCGCTCCTATTGCCTGTGGAAATCCGAGCTACCCTGCAGGCTCAACCCAAATCCTGTTCTCAGCATGAATTCTCTGCTCCTCCCTTAAATTGTACTTCTTTATTCATATTCTTTCTTTCATTTAGCTGTTTGTGTGTTTTTTTACTTTCTGGGTTACAGTCAGACTGAAGGGTTGAGCCATGTTCATTTTGCTCTGAATCCATGAGGACACATAACACTTTGTGTCTTGAATGTCTGTTGGCCAATTAGCGATACTTTAGAGCTGCACATGGCATCTGTCGGCCAGCCCCATGCCAGTCATTCCCGGACTCTCCGTTTCTGCCTTAGCTGGTACGGTTCCTCTTCTTCCTACTTTGGAGATGGTGACAGCCAGGCAAAGTTGCTCTGGTGGGACTGAGAAGGGACTTTCAGTAAATCCTATGTGGTAACATGCAGGAACATCCCAGGAGTGCTTTAAGCTAAGCCTTATGTTGGAGGAACTAAAGAATTCAAATTATATTTGATCAAAGATCGTCACTGTATGATTGGTTCTGGGTATGCAGAGGTCAGAAGAACAGATGTCTCTGCTCCCAGAAAACTTAGAATCACGTGTCAGGAGCCTGATGGTGGAAGAATAAATATTTCAAAAAACATATGACTACACTTTGTAATAAATCCATGAATGAGAACAACAACAACAACAAGAAAATACAGAGGAGGAGATTTCAGGTAGAGGGAGTATCTTTTGCAAAGGCCCTGAGGAGCTACTACTACCTGTGGAGGAGGTAAAAATTTGATTGCATTTAAAAAAAAAAAAAAAAAAGAATTTGATGCATTGAGGTACATAGGAAGGCCCTGTGAGTCTGGGGCGTAGAAATCAAAGGGACAGGGCTCTTATCTTGGAGGCCTTGTCAGCCACGGTAAGGGATTTTTATTTTACTGCTGATGCGTTGAGAACCTATGAAGACTTCTACTCAGGGGAGTGACCTGAGTAGAAAACGTACCCCATGTACATTTCCAATAGATCACAGAAACTGCCGAATGAACATACTGGATGATGGGGGGTCAGGGGCAGGAGTAGGGAGATATTTTATTATTATTATTTTTTATGATTTTATTTATTTATTTGACAGAGATCACAAGTAGGCAGAGAGGCAGGCAGAGAGAGAGGAGGAAGCAGGCTCCCTGCTGAGCAGAAAGCCTGATGTGGGGCTCGATCCCAGGACCCTGGGACCATGACCTGAGCTGAAGGCAGAGGCTTTAACCCACTAAGCCACCCAGGCGCCTGTAGGGAGATATTTTAGAAGTCTGCTGGTTAGCCGAGGGGAAAGACAAAGAACTCAGATGCTAGACGAGGAGCAGCGGAGATGGGGAGAAGTTAAAGTGTGTTTAGCAGACACTGAAAGTGACACCCAGTTGACAAATCAGGTGATGATGGAGAGAGACGGAAACATCAAAGATAACTTCTGGGGTTTGGGGGCTTCCGAAACTGCACACAGATGAATGACATCATTGAATGACAGCAAGAAAGCTGGAGGAGACTCTTGGAAAGTTAAAGAGTTGAGTTGGAGCTCCTTGGATGAGAGATGTCTGTCAGTCACAGTGGTGGACGCTTCCTGCAGCTCGCTGGAATTTCAAAAGCAGAGATCACAAAGGAGGTCTGAACTGAATATGGGAGTCATTGAGGCATTGGCATGAGGTTATATATACACGTCTCATGTTCTAATGCTGCACAGGACCATCTCATTTAAGAGTTCACAAAATTTAATGTGAGACTTTATAGATAAGCTCACAGAGCGTGGAGAAGTTAGATCACGGGCCAAAATCATGCAGTCTTTGAGCAGCAGAGCTGGAAATTGGACCCAGGCAGCCTGGCTGGCAGAGCCCTTTTTCTTACCCACTGTGCGGCAGGGGTCTGGGAGCGCCCCCAAACTGGAGGTGAGGGTGGTATGATGAGGAGGGAATGCGTGTTGCCACAGACCTGAGTTGAGTGGGAAGTGGGGGGTAATGTGTCATGGCGGCTGTCGATGAGCTGGGTGGGAGGATAGCAGAAGGCTGCAGCAACAGAGGGGGTGAAAGGATTGTGGGACACTTTTTAAATAAAAAACTACTAGCACTTGTCTATATGCTGGGGTAATGAGCCAGTAGATGGGAGGCAATAAAGATGCCATTTCTCAGGGGGGCTCATCCTAGCAGGAAGGTCTCTGAAGCCTTGAAAGGGGACGAAGTCTGGGGGACCTCCCTGGCTCGGTTGGAAGAACATGAGACTATTGATCTGGGGAATCTTGAGTTTGAGCCTCACCCTGGGTGTAGGGAGTACTAAAAAAAGAAAGGCAACAAAATCCTGAGCAAATGTGGAAACTGTCTTTCTCATGAAAAGGGACAATTTCTAGACTGTAATAACAAGGGAGACGGAGGTGGTTAGCATTGTTGTGGCTTGCCTTTATTATTTAAGGAAGAATGGGGCTGCGGCTAGGAGAGGCGAGAGGAGGGGGGAAGGTGGGAGACTGGAGCGGAGGGAAGGGGGGTGGTTGGGCTCCCAGCAGCTTCCCCAGGAGGAGAGACAGGTGGGCTGGCAGGAGGGGAAGTGAGGTTTGGTGCATGTAAATTTATTAATTTCCCTAGTCTAGGTTTAGTGTACTCTCTGAATATCAGTAACTGTAAATGACACATTTTATGAAATCAGATTATAACCTTGAATTTTTGATCCATATCTAGCCCTAGACCAGAGGTGTTTTTCTCTAAATATCTCAATAACCATGACTCTTTTATCTCCCCTCACACGTGTACACAGACTGAAATGTTGCTGACATTATGTGTATTTAAGATGTTTCATATTCCTTATATGATAGGAAGATAATGTACAATTTTTTAAGGCTTTAAATTAATTACGATCTATTTCTTTTAAAAGGAGGATGGATTGGTATCCTTATTGTGGTGACTGAGATTACTTAAAGGGGTCACTTTCCCCAAAATTCCTAGGAGTGATGCAGGAATTCTTTCAAAGGCAACTCCAGTTCTGACTTCATCCTTCTATGAATACATTTTTGACCCTTTTATCTTGAAATGTGTAATACAAATCTAGTCATAGTTCTACATAAAAATTATATTGGGAAATCAGACTTATGGATGTGTGCTTTTAATTTGATATTTAATAATGCCCTAAGGCAGGTAATTCAAATTTTTATTAAAGTGAAATGATTTGACAGTCAGACTTTGAATTTAATGCATGAATGTTTCATTTAAGCTCTTGGAACTGAAAAGGAAAAAAAAAATTTTTTTCTGGTGGTTCTCTAAAAAAATGTTTAAAATAATTCAGATTTATTTTAGCTATGTCTTAACTAAAATAACTTTAGTTTTTGGACTTAAAGTGACTCTTTTTTTTTTTTTTTGCATGACATGTCTAGACATCTGGAGGGCTTTGATAACCAAGACTTATTATTTCCATGAATAATCTGTGACTTTTTATATTACCATTTAAGAAGTATGAACCATGGTTTTTATACTTGTTTAAAGAACTAGCACATAACTCATCCAGGTGCTGGAAATTCTTAGTTTGCAATGTTAGTTCAGATTTCTGGGAGCCAGGGACCATGAAATGATCCTTTACCCATTGAATTTTCTGTATGAGAACCAAATCTTAATAACAACAAACAAAAAACAAGACCAAAGTTTAGTCTAGTTTACTTGTTGTTCTTGGTATCTTAATACTGGTACTTAGTTCTGATGAGATGATTACTTGCCTGTTTGTTTTGTGAAGTTTTAGCCCATTATTTAAAGCTTTAGTTACTGTTCAAAGACTTGTCTGTTTCCTCTGTAACTCAGATATATTTAAGCTGCACATGTGTATAGTAACTATACTTAGTTATAATTATTTATTATCCGTAAAACCAGTGCCACAAGTCTCT